CCCCACCAATGGGGAAAGTCGAAGTCGACTAAGCTGCTAATGATAACTATCATAAAGCCTGCAATTCGATATAAATAAAGTAATAGCCAAACCAGCATACTAGCCTCAAAAATCGATCTTTCAAAAGGTTCCAGGTGCAATTTGAGCACGGAGTTTGAGACAAAACCGAAGAGTGGACTGCTCATTAAAATGTATTGAATTAAAAAAAATAGCACATGATCGTGCCCTTATCATGAACTAACAGTAAGAATACTCATGACGGTACAGTTCACATTTAAGTTGGTAATATTTTATTCTGCTTGGAAGGAAAAATGTCGGAGATCGATTACTGTTGCTAAGTGAATATTACGACTTACTTACAACTTTGATATTCGGAATTGAATGACTTTCCTGAGGAAGCTTTACTCCCAGTAATGAGCCTAGAAGTATATTAACCGAGAACTTTGTTTCCCTGGAACGAAAGTCGCTTAGAGTAATTTATGAATTCTGTTTAAGGTTTGGAAAAAATCGATTAGGATTCCTATTTTTCATTTCTTTGTCACAAGACAAGGTAAAAAAAACTGAAAAAGCGCAAAAAGAAGTAACTCGATAAGACAAGATTAGTAGAATAATTAGTTTGTAAAACAATGCAAAACCTTGTACCTCTGCATTTAATAAGAACTCAGTTTTGTGCAGAATTAAATATTAAAAAACGACCTAGAATTTGGCTCTATTTAATTAATTCATCCATTTTAGCACTCCCCATGGTCATTTAAAGGCTTTGTAAGGGATACGTTTTCACTTTAATTATTAATTTTACTATTTAAACTTGAAATAAATCGCTAGAAGTATACTTTTTGACCTAAGTATATACAATCGAATGTACTTTGTGAGAACGGCTTAGTATTCCATCATAGAATTCTTTTCCTTGGGTTTCCAAACTTCAAAGAGTTGATAACTTTGTGCATTCTTCTACATTTAATCGTATGGAGACCTAATAGAGGTGCCTTGAGTACTCTGTGGAATTACGCATTTTAAATGTCATATATAGTGAACACTTTATATATCTCAGTTGAAGATGTAAAATGCACAATTCTCCATTAAGGTTCATTCAAATGACATTATCATGTCTCCTCAACCATATGGAGGTAAGATGAACTGAGGGAACAATATGGGCCCTTCTCGATTCAAAGGCATGTCGATAAGTAATGAACTTCGAGGACAAGCATTTGTCTCGCTCCCGAGACGAAATATAAAATCTGAATTTTGGCACGTGAGCTACCCATTTACTGAATATTCTAGATTTCAATCCGGAAGATCAGTGAAGCAAGACACCCACCCTCTTTCCCTGATACCTGGACGCCGATTTCAGGATATCTTTGAAGTTTAATAATCCTTGTTTGTTGTCGCCTCCCACTGCAAACAATAATAGTACTAGTACCCTGGCCAGTTTCTAGCCTAAAAGCATATTTTCCAAATGGAAATTGGCAGATGACTTATCAACTGCGAAGAAAGTAAAAATATCACAAAGGAGACGTTTGATATTCTTAACTTATATCTCATATCAGCATCTTTATTGCATTAGCAACACAATGAGATAAATCAACTGTTTTCTTGAATAATTGTCTTGATAAGGAGTAGAGAGAGGGGGTTGGGGGGGGGGGATGGTGATTTGTAAGTTTCGAAAGATCGGCGTGTGGGATAAGAGTCCATAGGAAGAGAGAAATATAACACGAGGTCTGACAGGATTTTGCTTACCAGGAGAGAAGGAAGCCACATTTTATACACATCAGGCACATTATATATTTGACAGAAACTGGGAGTTGGAGGCGGAGAAGAGCAGAAAGCTCATGGTCGTTTGTTAGAGGATAAACTCAAGGGTACCTCTCATCTTGGTCTAGTGGGTGATCGATTATCCGTCAACATCGAATGAGATTTGGGATAAAAAGGACCAGTCCTCACTAGAGAGTAGCACCCATTAGGCATTGGAGGTTCACTACGACCGCTACCACTAACAACGGGAGCGTTTTGCCAGGAATTTGGAGGTCCAATATGAGTGTCCTGAATGACCTCATAGACATCAGACGGCGGGGCGGGTGAGAGCGGTGGCAAAGGAGGTGGAGGTTGGGAATTCCTATGAGCGGGTACTGCAGGGGGTCTTCCAGCTGAGCAAGCTTGCTTTTCAAAATTAGATGCGGTGTTGGTGGGAGGCATTGCGGAGGAGGAATTACCTCTGGATAGGGAATGGCTTTCAAGTTTTCGGATTCTTGCTAAGTACTTTGACTTCGCCTTCTCGAATGCCGTAATGAGAGCAGCGTTTGCCTGTTTCAGATCATTCACCAACTCTTCGCTTTGAGACTGATGCTGTTCAGTACCCTTTCGAAGTGATTCGAATGCAGATTGTAAGCTCTGTAAATCGAAAAAAACACAAACACGATCCAATTAATAGAGCGAATACATATATCCTATTTCTAGTTCAAATGATTTTAACACTGCCAGCTGTCTGATGATTATTGCATATTATGCACTAGCGCTGTGGACAAATGTAGACTTATAATTAACCTAAATGCAAAATCCGACACAATCTAACTGGGTAAAGGTTAATGGGGTTCTACCACTACTGTTGTTTCCTATAAATGCGTGCAAAAAAATATTATTATCCGAAATGATTTAATCACACAAAGTATTCGCTTATTAGACATTAATAGGGAAATAATCTTAAATCATCGTCAATTAAAATTGTGATTACCTCAATTTGTTGTGCAAGAGGACCTTGTGAACCATTTCGATCTGAATTCTTGAGCATATGGAGATTTCGATCAATCTGAAGTGCGTTAAGTTGATTCCGCAGAGCAGATTCAGAGAGGCAATGCCCCTGATGACTGACTTGAATAGCTCTCAATTCCTTTTCCATTATGTAGTTTTGGACCTTTAATTTGGCTCGATCCTCTTTAACAGCACAAAGATCCTGTTCAAGAAAAAGAATAATGCCTGTGATAATCTCAGTTAGAGTTTTCAAGCGAAGGTTAATTCAAGTAAAGAAAATCAACTAATTCCGCAAAATCTACAACTGCTCTGTCAGAGAAAAGGCTGAATTCCAAGCATTTATCAACAGAAGCTAGAAGAAGACTAAATTTGACATCGGTTACAACCTCTTCGCGTTGCTAACGTAAACATTCACGCGAAATATGCATGTATACAAACCTCTTCTGACAGTCAACCTTTCTTGCCATCTGGGTATGGACTTCATTCACGTGCTTTTTAATTCCTCTTCCACAGTTTCTTTAGATTAACTTTTGGTACTATCCACATGAATCAAAAATTCAATTCTATTTAAGCTTACTGAATAAATTTCCTTTTACTTTTTAGCATTGTCAACGCTTTCCATTATAAAATCAAGTTGTCGTTATCCAGTGCTACTTCAATTGAATTTACGTCTGTTGAGTTTTTAGTCCTAGCATTGAAAACAAGTGGATCGAGCTTTGTCGTTGGTGTATGATTCATGAATCAACTTGGGCACGCAATTGTCGATAAATCAATAATTTTCAAGACCGATTCGCTCTGCGTGAATCAATAATCTTTCAAACAAAATTTATTTAAAGAACATATAACAGAAGCTCTTTCTATGATGATATTACAATATATATATATATATATATATATATATATATATATATATATATATCCCTATTGCAAAGCTAGTAAAGAAGAAAAGACATTTTAAGTGTCTAGAACAAAAGTAATTAAATTTTATACGGTTTTAATTAATTTTAATTCCTGATGCATTAATGTGCTCTCACCCTAACTCTGTCCGACGTTCGCTTTATCTCAATATCATTTTTCAAAGCAAATTTTTTAAATCAAAGTAATTAAGTTATATTAAAATTTATTCACCAGACATAATAATACACTAAGCTAAATAATCAGACATATGCTAATTTAGACGTTTAGAGCTAAAAATCACAAAATTGACATTTACTGACAAAATTTAAGTCCAAGTACTTCCCTCACCCCTTGATATTGTAATTATTTCTATATAAATAAAGCCTATGCTCTTTGTCTTCCATTTATGTAACGCTTTTGCATGACTTCCCGTCAAAATGTCTTAAATTGCAGCAGACGGTGAAAAGAAAATTGAAATAAGTAAGTAGCTCGTATCCCCGCTTTACTATAGCCAGGTCGAAATATCGGGGAGAGAGAATGTGGAGGTGTTTATTTGCTGCAGAAATTAATCCCGAGTCATCACAGATACACATCTGAAATTTCATACCCGAAATCATCATTTTACTTCCCCAGGACCTCGATTTTTTTCTCCACTAGCGCGGTCTAAATTCGACGCTAAAATTGCATGGATTCAAGCCCCCCGGATTGAACTGGTATCACTTCTTCAAAGTCAGCGTTTTCGATTCAGAAAAAAATATCTTCCAGATGTTCTTGTTTAAAAGTGTCGCCAAGGTAAGATCTTCTTAAATGTTAAAAAGCGCAAAACGCGCCAAAGTATCCTCTTAATAAGATGTAATTCGGAATAACGTTGGTCGGATATAGAGATTAATACAAAAGTACGGTTTGAATAAAACTTAAAGACCACATGTGACCTGTTTGCTTAGCAAGGAACTGTTTCACACAAAAAATAATTAAAAAGTGAGATAATTGATTTAGCAGTTATAAAAATAATCCCTCATAAAAAGCGCGGCTTTCACTAATATCCTGTCTCCAATGAAAAATAAATCATATTATTTATTAATATTATATGCTTTTTGTCCTAGCTTTAAGCTAATTGGCTGAAGCAATAAAGCCAAATAATTTCTACTAATAACAGCATCATTTTTTTTCTTTTGATCAATTAAAACAATCTTTCCCTTATAGCATACATAGACTTCTAGTTGTAAAATAAGTTTTTTTATCTCTAATAAATGGAAGTTAGAAAGACAGTGTAGAAGGGCAGGAAGATCAGGAGAGAATCTATGACGTACCTGCAAGAGGACAGCTGTATCCAGCAACATAAGAGCATTGAGTCGACTGAAGACCCCCGGTTCTCGTGAATCCTTCGACATGTTTGCACCATCACTGTAGGTCGGCATCTAAAGTTCGCATGAAATTTTTGTAAGAAATTCGCCCGTGGAAACCGAATTTGGTATATTAGGAGTGGAATGCGTAAATTCTCAATTCACTGTAGATACAAGTGTACCCTAGATCTCGTTGAAGGTGGAGTTTGAAGTAAACATAGTGGACTTTAATGAAGCAATGAAAGTGGTAAAAGTTATTGCTTTTCATTTGTATGTGACAAGTTTGAGATCACACTTGGTGATAGGAATGAACAATTGCATTGTTTAATATTCTTCAATAGAAAGAATGATTACGTGTGAGTTTACCATGAATGCGTTTCAAAAATGCCTACATTTTACTCCAACTAAATGCGATAAACAGTCCCTATTTTACTGGTTCTTTTGAATTTTTAGATGACCAGGATCCAGAGCAATTTTTAGTAAAAAAACTTAACCTAGATTCCATTAAAATTGTCAGAGAGAGAGAGAGAGGGGGGAGAGAGCATTTGTAATGGAAAAACTGTAATTCAACTCTTAATCGGCGCTCAAAGTGGGCTTAAAACAAATGATCCTGAAAGTAACAAATTTCAGCCAAACCCTTATCTACAAAAATTTGATTAGAAATACACTCGCAAACGTAGACTCGCTTTCAAGAAAGGTTCTTTTTATTAATGGAATACTGTCATTAAAAAATGGGAGAGCTAAGTTTGTGACACCATGACAGCATCTAGAATAATTCGGATGTATTATTAGATAATGCATAATCTAATGATATAAAACGCGAAACCTCTGGAAACAATTATCCTAACAACAGAATATGTGGAATCCCCATCCATCTCCATCTTCTATACCTCCAGCTAAATGACGACAACATCTGAAACAAGCAGTGCTTATTTGTGCGTCTGCACACTTGAATGTATGAGAGGAGGCCATTTTCGCCTGAGCCAACTTTCTGTGTGCCCAAGAAAATGAGAGGCAGGGAGAGGGGAAGAGGCAGGGAGAGGGAGATATGGAGTTTTATGCACTCCGCGACATTAAATCTGTTCAGGCGCCCTTCCATGGCTGAGGCATTTTGATCGTGATGACCTTTTCGTTAGTGGCAAAGTAGCTGGCCCTCTATCTCTGTACCTTTCTAACAGTCCCACATCCACCCCCCCCCCCTCCTTCCCTCCCTTGAATACTGGAAGACACCGTGACTCATTGTACACAGGCTCTGCCTCTGAACAAGCGAAACTGCAACTTGGAAAGGTTAAACAGGAGATAGTGGGGATGGAGATGGGATGCGATGGGAGCTCGTATATTTGTACGTGGGTGGTGAGGTGAGGTGTATGTGTTGTGTAGAACGAGTGGTGATGGTAGTGGGAAGGAAAAGAGGTGAAAATGTGTCTCTGAAAGGGGTTATCATAATCTCCTTCTTCCCCCCCCCCCCCTCCCCCTCATCCAGAGCCTACGATTTTGTGGTTACACTATACTGAATTCGCCTAGGGTTCTACAATTTCCTTGGGGAAATTAAGTCAAGAATGCTAGAAATTGGGAGAATGTTAAATTATTTAACTTTAAGAGCAAAATGGCAAAACAATACTGCTCCAGGTCAAATATTTATTTATTTCAATTTGTGGAAATAATCAATAAGAGTGAACTCACGTTGAATAGAGAGAGAGGTGATTGGACGCACTTCTGACCTGTTACTTAGCTTCACTACAATTAGTAAGCCCAAGCAAGCTTTCTTTTATGGTGAATGAATTGAGATGGATTGCTAACAAACTTATGAATGGCTCATAAGTGAAGTACTTGGCTGACCGAAATCTTATAACAGAAAATCTCAGAAAAGCGCAAATGGACTTAAAAGCAGTATTTACAGTCAATTTCCATTAGTCAGAGAAATAAAATTTTAATTCAATCTGGATATATTTAAACCAATTATGAAAATCTTCATTACGAATTAAAACCTTAAACTTTGAAGCAAACAAACCAGCTGGTACGAAATCTACAATTTTATTTGCTCGAATGATGTTGAAACACGAGGCAAAGGAAGACCTCATTTCGTTTGTGTTGCTAGTTAAGGCAAAATTAAGGTTAATTGAAGTTCCAATTTCCATCGCACTTTCCTTTCGCCGCTATTGCAAAGTGAACAGGCCAATCTGTGTGAATTTTATCTACAGAAGGAGCCCACTTTCAGTGAGTGAAAGATTCAGTGAAACAACAATTGCAACGTGTTTTTTTTACGTTAAATGAATCCGATATCCTTTTGCAAATAGAAAATCACATAACCATTCTTCTGGGTTTACCATGGTAACATTGGAATGCCAAGATCTGATTCATTTCTTTACAATCCCATAATTAGTTTTGAATCTATGAGGAAGACGTGGCCAGTATTTCAACTCAGCGAGTCCTTTTTATTCCAATAAAACCTGTCACAACCCTTTGAAGGTGCGGCAAGGACTTTAAACTGAATCCAAGCCGTGACTGCGTGCACTTGACATTCAGACTAACAATCTCAGCGGCTGAACTTTGTTGCCCACTTTGCCACCAATCAGATTAATAATAACACGAGGGAGAGGATGGGGGTTCACGTCTCAAAAGTTGGACAATCGGGTTTCTTCCATGCTTCACTAAGATTTTCGTTTAGGGCAAATCGGTTAAAGCTCCATTTATAAACCCAGAGATCTGGCAGGATTGCCATTTTATACCATGTAGTTGACAATTGCCAACAAAGATGACATTACTGGCGGTTAGCTGGCGACATCATGCAATCTAAGAATTACTGAATCTAATTCAGCGACCAGGTATGAAATATAAAAAATGAGAGATCGAAATATACGAGGAGTAATAAAAAAGAAGCGATCCAATCAAAAATGGTTAAAAACATTTTCCCGAGACTCAGGCGGTGCGACAAAGGAATAATGAAATTCCTTGGAGAGATGGGAAATACTACATTGGATAATAAATTATCTCCCCTTCTCTTGCTTGAATTAAGTAAGGGGTAATTTAGGCTTTCATCAAAATTTCTATATTCCCTCGAAGTAATCGAGAACAAACCAAAACTAATTAATGTACTGTTGAACATCAGAATTTAGTTGCATCATGATTTACTCGAATATTCAAAGCCAAAATATGTGCAAGAAGCTTTCAACTACCTATTTATGTGTCCTATTAGCACTTACTTTTAATAATTTTTCCCATATGTGGAACATTTAGTCGAAATCAACAGAGAAACGCCATAATTCGACAATTAAGTTAGATCTCAAGCCAATATTGAACGATGACTAAGAGGATGCATAATGACTTTAATCTACCCTAAGATGATTGGTTAACAAATGGTCAAACACTTACACCTAGACAGGAAGACAAAGACGAGCTTATGCATCTGACGCTGTAATAGAATATTATTCTACTAACTCTTACCTTATACTCAAGTAATTGCCCATTTTATGGTCATAAATATATTTTGAATTTTCACCTTTAATGGAAAGCCAATTTCTCTCTTGCTTGAGGGAATATTAAGTGCTACTTTAGATTAATGTGGTTGTGTATCAGAAGTTGTGAATTATAATAAAAGCCAAATATATCATGAAATTGTTAGAGAGTAAACATCAAATTTAGCCTTAACTCACCTCGCTTCCCGTATAAGGCTTCATATAATTGAATTCAGCGTTCGGAGGCACACCGCTATTAGCGCTTTCAAAATCATTGCCACTAGCAGCGATAGTACTTCTCACAAGCATTCTTTCCCAGATGATCTGGTCCAGAATATGTCTCAGTTTCATCTCCTTCATTCTGCTCCAACCAGCACTGTCTGATGCAACAGAAGCAGTCGGATTCACACCAACAGTAACCATGTTTGGAGGTACTGAAGAAGCGGAAGAATTCGAAGAATGAGTAGTAGAAACCCCAGACACTGCAGACACTGTGGTGGCATTTCCAGCATGATCATTGGTACTGAAGCTTCCAGCTCCAGAATCGGGAGTCTGCCAACCTCCACCAGACTTGAATGGCTGTCTCATAGGAGCAACAGGTCTACTCGCGATACACCAAGCGTTTGCGTAGACTCCATGAGCCCCCATACCGGAACTACTGCCACCAGATTCCACACCAAGACCGCTTTCGGTACATGTTGCGATACTCCGATTGCCGTTTATTCCATTGGGTTCAAAGTCCTCACCAGGAGCTGCGGAAATCAGACTCTCCGGTTTGAAGAAAGGCTCTGGTGTTGAGACAAACCGAGCGAGAAGCTGCAAAGCTGCCACTTCGGTTTGATGCCTATTCGGTGAAAAAAACATGAAACATGAAATCTTGCGTTCAAATGCACAAGTCAGCATCTGGTGATCGTTTATCACAATTAAAACTGATAAAAAATGATATCCGTCTAGCTCGCTCGCACACATAAACGCAGCTGCAGGTAAAAATTAGTCATTCTATAATTGCAATTCGGGCGAAACGTAATTCTCTCCTCCAATTTAAATTTTTAAATCACAATTAGATTAGGCGCACTCCTATACTTAATACAATTGTGCAAATTGATGATTTATGTGGGACTATCCTTTAAATTTCTAATATTAGCACCATTATTAACAATATTTCGGCCATTGTTATATTCTAAAATGTACCAATTAATTACAAATTTAATAACCTCAATAATAAGTGCATCTGATAGTTGAACAGATAAGGTATGCAAGTACTTTAAATCACTTATTTGACCAAATCTTCTCCTTCTTTTAATACCATTTTATGCCTTTCTGCGGGGGGGGGAGATGGGGTGGGGGGGGGGGGGGGGGGACATGCATAGAAAAATGAAAAGGTTCAAGCAAACTTTTATTTAAAAATACTTCGAATAACATTTTAAAAGGAAAGTAATCGTAATTCATTGAAAATATCGCCTAAATAAGAATGATCAATTTAGCAACAGGTTTAAATATTAAGAGAATATCATATTAGTGATACCACATGTGTTGCTAAGGAATTCTTATTCCAAAGACGACAAACATTTAATAAATAAATAAGATAGTTTGAGTTTTCTTGTGCTTTCTGTTCATGTTTGCTATCATTAAGTTGAAGGCATTTATTGAAACAAACATAATACAATAACCTGTAATTAATTTTTTATGAGCCCCTACTCTACTTAATTGGAAGGCAACGATTTTGAAACCATTTTGAAATCATAAAGCTTTCTACTTGCGAGACTAAAAACAGTTAAAGCGATGAAACCAGAGAAACAGTATTTTACGAACTCTCCTACAAATCTTATACACCTCCTTTATGCAAATCGAACCTCTTACGTTTGCGAAGTTCGAAAGCTGAACAGACGCAATACCCAATAAGTACTACCGATGCCTGAGTTTAGTAGAATATGAGTTTTAGTAGCATGGTGTTGGATTATGGACTATCCGAACTAAATAATGCACAATGATTTGATCGAGAGTATTAGTTGGCTTCTCTATGAAACACTTAATTTTGTATTACGAGAGAAAGGTGAAACGACTTATTGTCTTAAAATCTCTCTCCTTGAGTGAGGTTTACCTGTTATGAGTCATTCCTAAGCGGAAGACCAACGGCACTCCTGGCGCCACCGAGGTCTTTGCATTTTGTATGTGAATTTCTGAACTGTTATGGAAATTGGACTCGGTTGAGAACTGTGCTATCAGCCCTACGTTTCAAATTAGGCTAATTTGTAGGCCATGACATATTAGCTGATCCCCATTAAATGAACATACCTTTGCATCTTAAGAAGCCGTAGACAGGCTGGTCCATTGCAGACATTATGAGGAGGAATCCAAGTTGGAATGGAGATATGCGAACCTGTTTCTTCCGAAGATTTTCCATTTGGTGCATAAACGGCATAAACGTTGCTTCCGTTATCACTGGCAGTGGTTCCAGGTGGTAGCTGAGGATGTCTGCCAGCATCACCGTTATTTACTGTGCCAGTACGGTTATTTGGGGGAATCATGTGCGCAGGAACTGGGGGTTTGCAAGGAGGTCTAGGGTGGACGCATTCATCTTCAACTTCTTCATCTTCAGAGGAGGTAGTGCAGGATGAGGAAGAGGTAGATGTCGAACTGCTGAAAGTCCCAAGTCGTCCAAAAGACCTCTGGTGATGGTGATGGGATTTGCTCGAAGAGGATTTATTGTGGTTCGGCTGTTTGTGGAGTAGGAGGGCCAATTCTGAGGAGTATAACTAAAAACAGAATGAAAAAAAACGATAAAATAGTCAAAATGGCAAGAGCAATGACTTTCACAAAAAACGATGAAAATATTATTTTATTAAAAGAGAGCCAATGGATTTACGAAAAAGCTGTGAGAATGCTTATTTGAGAACTAAATTATTGCAAATTTATTGCATTCGTGGAGACTCTTATGGGTATGAGATTCGGGGAAGCTGAGATTGAATGCGGCTTGAAACCATCTAGTTTGTTTATTAACTTTGAATGGGTTGAGCTGGTTATTTTTGACCGAAACTCGATGAGGTCAATTTCAGTCCCCCTGGAACGTGATTTATTTCTCTCAGAATTCCAAATTTTATATAACATTCCTCCTAAAATTCCAAGATCTACGAATGAGCTAGTTCAAAAAAATATATTTCATGTTCCCATTTTGTTGATAAATGAATTGATTAGCTCTTTAATCAAGAATAAAAACCTTTAGACCCGTTTTGCTTCTGCGATTCAAGCAAACCTCAGAATTTCAGCATGATTTAAAAATAATTGATCTATCTATTCTTAACTAGCTTGTCATTTAGGCGAGCGTCAGTCAATATAACGCTGACCATCATGTTCTAAAGTTAGCATGAAAGGTCCAAATTCTAAAAGCCCGGAGATGATCTCGTGAAATCATCACCTCTCCAAGTGCGTATATAAACCACACAAAGCCCATAAAACCAATCATTGATATTTTAAATGGTTAAATAGCCTATCTGATGAGTTTCGCCTTGGCAACATCCTGTTTAAATATGTAGGCGACGTACATGCAGAAGAATGCCGCTTGTTTCCAGGGCCATGTCGGCTAGATCTGCAGCTCTCGATGCAGCACCCCAAGATGTCTCAACCTGCCCAAGTCTACAATGCAATTGGTCTCCTGCGGCCTTGGCCTCAGCCAATGAGGCTTCAAGGACGGTGAGTTCAGCTTCTTGACGGGCACAAAGGGTGTCACGTTGTTCACAAGCCAGCAGAGCGTAACGGGCGATGTCTGCGAGACGGGGATAGGGTGCAGCACCAGCTAGACCAGAAAGAAGTATTTGAGCAATGGCAGAGTTTGAGGAAAGGCCAATACCGTTGGAATTGTTGGCACCTAGGCATCGATTTATACAGTGGTGTAACCACTGGGGCTCTGGTTCATCACCGTTGGTATTGTCTCCACCACTGTGACAACTCTGGGGAACTGAAGAGGTACTGTCAGATAGGACTCCAGAATGTGACTGAAAAATGAGAAGAGGGTTGTCACTTTTCTAAAGTTTTAATCCTTCTAGTAACTTCGTCAACAAAACGGCACTTAACCATTGAAATGATCATAAAAAGATTGTAAGAATAAGGACCCACGTTTCAATTTTCAAGAAACAGTGGATTGGTGGTCAATCTGCATGCTTTTGAGGTTAGAAGTCACGCAACTGATGCTCATAGATATGAACCAAGTGAACGGAATGATTAAGCACATTGGTAAAGTTAATTCAACCGAGGAAGTGTCTCACTTTAAGACTCTTGCCTGGAAAATTCCACTGTTGCCGACAGGTTTGGAAGTTAGGCATTTTCAATCTATAAATAGTATGTTGGAATATCCTATTCATATTACTTTCTTTCAAATTTATAAACTTCCTTCCAATTGGCAGTTAAAATTGTGAGTCGAAGTCAAGGCGTGCCTTAATTAAAAAAAACTCTTTTTCCCCGTAATTAATATTGCAACCTTCTGTGAAAGTTAATTGAATTAACAATAAAACACTTTCCACTTAAATCAAGAAAAAAGCGTGGAGTTGAATTAAGCCTCTTTTTATTATGCCTGGGATAACAGTAGATTAGTAGGAGCATTATTCATAAAGTGGACAAGTAAGATATTAGATTAAATTTCTTTTTTAATGAATTGAGAAGGATAATACAGGTTATTGTCAAATACTACTTAAGCCAATATGGTGAATATAAGTAGCTTCAGAAAACGGCAGTATGATACAAAGCAGATGTAAGTATAGAATAATAGCCAGTTACTTTAGAAAAGTATAATACACCCTATTGCTATAATTTAGATTAAACTTAAGCTAACTTTAGTAGTGAGCGCTCATGGTGAAGGGAAAAATAGATGGAATAACAAATTTTGATAATGACCCTAATCGATCTAATCAGAGTAGTAGGTAAGCACAGAACATGTCGTTACGGAGGGGAGTTTGCACCAAAAGAATTTGTCATTACACCTGTTGCAGAAGATGTGTATGCAAGATGTGTGTGTGTGCGTGTGTGAGTATTCGATCTAGTCGCTTTCAGGGTCGAAAATGCGCAGCTTAGACGCAGCACACGAAGTGATGCTTTGGTTTGTGCTTGATGCATCGTCATCATCATTACTGCAATCTTCACACAAAGTCCAAAGTCTTTAAATCTACCAGTCTTAGTTCCCTTCAAACTCCCACTGTAGTGTAGGGTAGTTGGAGACGTTTAGTATTAGCAAGTAAACACGAATGTGTGGTCGTCTTTGAAGAAATATTTTTGAGAGAGTGGATTTGTCGAAGTATCATACTAGGATCAACTGAGAGATTATGAGAAAACGTCGACATCAACTCTAGACAGTGGATTTCATGTCACTTAAGAAACTCCAATTCCAATTTCGAACAAATCTTCAGGCTCATTTATTTTCATTGAAGAATTATTGACTGATTAGTTTAACTTTAACAAAGAGGAGTAATTTATTTGAAAGTTTATCCTGAAACGGGCGGCTTTTTGATGAGATAAGCTCTCATTCGTTTTTAACATTGAAAAAGTTGCTTGAATAAGGGGAGGGTACAATTCTCGCTACTACAACTGAATTAGGAACCACAAACGGATACGCCCCTATTCTTTAAAAACGGCTGTCGGTCAGTTAAATCAATATATATCTAATATACATATAATTATTTCATTAACACCAATGGCAATAGCTATTTAAAGATTCCTAAGTCCTTTCAAATCACACCCAAAAAGATTCAACATAGTCCAATGAAGTACACTTTTTTTCAAAATTAAGTTCTAAGGCGGCGAAATATTCTTGGCATTTTCCAGCTCGAAAAGAGGTCATAGCAAGTTCATTATCAATTTGTTTGAAAGGCAACAAAAAAACTTTTCTCGAAGAGGGGGGGGGAGAGAAGGGGGTGTTTTGTTGCGAAGTAATTGTCGCCGGTTTGTGTGCTGATGACTCAAGGCTTGAAAGTTCTATATTACCCTGTGTGAAGTTAAGCGAAGTAACACTGGACAGGAATCTGTGCAGATGTGTATAGGGGGGGGGGGGGATTTTATAAAAGGAAAATTACCAAAGAGTATAATATAAGTCAAAACAGCTGTCTTAACCACTGGGGTGTGTGTGTGTGTGTGTTAATATAGGCCAGTCAGCTTAAATTCAGTCAACTTTCAACTATTTTATGACTCTCTAGAGGAAAAGAATTGAAATATTTTGCCTCTGCAGCAAAAAGATACACCTTTTGTATTATCATTCACCATTGAATCTTAATATCATCAATCAAGTGGAAACTTAATTAAACTCCTGAATTTTGCTTCAGATGATATTCCAATCTAACAGTAGTCATTTTAAATGGAGGAAAAAGAAAAAAACGTCTCTTAAATGATAAATTAGCCATCTATGGCTAATATCATGACCACCATTCCGGATAATCAGATAACGCAGACCAGCATTCACTGCGTGGATTCATTGAGAGGGATGATTAAATTTGCTTATGAAAATGACAAAGGGAAAAGTTTACTGTCCAGATCATCATGAGGTATTTTATTTTGGAATACAGACTAAGATTCGAGGATTATAATCAATTGTTTTGTATGACAACAGCATAGGGAAATCGACTATTCTATCATTCACACTACAAATATATGTTGCCTATGCCTGGAATTTTCCGGAACTCAATTTGGGTGGTCGATGGACAATCGATGTAACAGAAATCAATATCCACTTTACGTATCAACCAATGTAATCACAGATGACTCATATATCAAAATGATAACCTTAAAACGTTCGTTCTTTATCCCACGAGGCCTTGAATTAATTAAGGTAGTATTATTTAAAAAGAAACAGACAGATAGGCTAGACATTAAGAATAATTTTCGGCTCAATATCCTATGAAACCGAGGCAACTGGTGTTCTTAGTACACATAAAATATTGAGTATTTTATTTTTTTCAGGTATTTCAATAAGCATCACAGTAATTCTCCTATCGGCGTTCTTTGATCCCATTAGTTCAAAGTTTTCCCACTGGGGATATCGTCTCACTTAAAAAAGCATGCCTGACACCAACTGTGCCAGACACCATAAATTCAAGAACGACCAGTCTCCTCTGCCTCCATGAGATTTTGTAAGAGCCAGGCCGAAGATGGACTAATTTCTTCTCTCCTCATTTTCCACTAGACGTCATAAAATTTCGGATTTGTAAAAACAATTAGAATTTCACAAAAGGATTCATTGAATCGGACTTTAAAGCTCAACTTGATAAAGATTAAATATCATATATTTATTCATTAGTTATACCCTTTCCATATGACATATTGACCTATATCCCATAGTAATTAAACAAATCCCAAATAAATATCATTCATGACTACCTTCTCCAACGGTGACCTTCAAGAAATAATTCAATTTAGTTTAAACAAACAAATTTTTTAGCTCTTAAAATCTAGTTTATTTATCTATTCCAATTGGCTCAGTTGGAAATAATTTTTGAATGGAATTCAAATCCGAAACATTAAGGAAGGAAACTGGAATAAATTCCTGACAGGTGAAAAAAGCTGAAGATCTTAATTTAACCAATAGCTTAGATGGTAAATAAATTATCTATAACTTCATGTTATTTTGCTGTTGCCATGATTTTGATGGCCAAATGGCAGCAGGAGGAAGAGAAGTTGAGAGAAAAAAGTGGAAGAGAAGTAAGAGAGCTGGAGGTTGGGCTGGAATTGAATGGTGGGGGGGGGGGGGGGGGGGGGGGGGGGGGGAGGAGGTGGTGATAAGAAGGGATTTGATTTATGAGTTACACGGGGTAACAACATATTCATGCCCAGTTAATGAATATCTGTGACTTCGCTGGAATCCCGGTAGCGGACAAGCAGACGCTGTTCAAAGTTAGCTTGACAGTAAATGTCAGCGATCCCTTTTTTATGCCCTCAGTCTACCACTTTTAAGGAATAATTAAGTCATAAAACGATTGATACTTCTCAAAAAATAAGCAAAGAATATCAGAATTATTCAAGAAAAAAAATTAAATCATCTGCTCAGTTTTGAATAAATGAGTGCAGTATAAACGGAACTGCGAGTGATATATGCAGAAAGTTGAAATATGACCAAAAAAGTAAATTCATGATGAATGGGGAAACATTTGACTGGGTTTGAGTCATGATTCCTTTAATTTAAGCGCTCAGAGCTTCAGTAGAGCAAGGCTTCCATTATTCCACCTAACAAGGCTGAGAAATCGAGCTAATAACCCCCATGGGCAAAGTTCTGTCAAATTATCACCTTTGGAACATGTGTTTTTCTAAATAATTATTGCGGTTAAATAGAGCAGTCTCTCTAGCATCTTCAAATCTACGAGATGTGCTCAGATTTCACTCTGAATTTCCGATATTGAACAGAGTTTTAAACAACTTCACAGAGATTTTAGCTTGTCAATGCCTCTCAATACTTATTCGGCTAGATCGAAAGGTAATTGCCTATAAAAGTTCTCAAATTCTGTAAATAATCAAGGAAATACCAAACGCTCGACATTGTGCAGTTCAGAACCAAGCAATTCCGAAACGAAGATTTTGAGGAAATATTGTAGAAGTTTATATCTAAAATTATATTAAACTGGCAGGAAAAATAGTGTATAGCTAAAAACAGAAAATTGAATACTATCGGTTTAAAAATGTTGTCATAAATCTTCAATGATAACTTCAAATAAAAGAAAACTAAAACTATTCAATCAGCCAATACAAAATTTTATTCAAAATTGTGTATTAGATGTTTCCTTCTAACTTTTTAGGGTTGCTTTGGTTGTTCCCATGATTCTCTAGAATTATGAAGGCTCACAAACCAGGGTTATTACTTGCTTAAGCCAGAATGAGGAGCTATCAACACCCAAATGTCCTATCTTCGCACTGACAACATATCCCAAGTTTATTATCCATTATACATCTTATAACTCATATTCGCCTGAATCTCTTAGTCATTACTATGTGTCGACCCCAGTATCGAAGTGCTTTTAGGAAAGAATCCTGCAACCAACCGAAAGATGGGAAAGATAAGGAACTAGGAAAGACGATTTTAAGAGACTTCTTTGAATATTCTAAATTAGAGTTGACTAAATGTTTGCAGCCAAGGGTTTTGTGACTCCCCTGGCGCCATTGTGGTGCCTACACGCAAACTACCGTGGGGACGAAAACCGTCACAGTTCAGCCCACGAACGAGTGCATTTTATGCTTCGACTCCCTGTTTCCACCCCCTCCCCCCCCCACCACCACCTCCCAATACTCTAAAACCTTGGGTATTGTGTCTCTACCTCCACCCCCCCCCCTCCTCCTTCTTCCAAACCATTTTGATCCCGGTGGTTTTTATGAAATTTGCCAAAATTTTGTCAAGTCTTTAAACCATGAAAAGAGCAGATGAATTGAAAGCACTTTCTTGACATTTTTTGCCATAATAAAAACGTGCCCCCTCTCGAAATAAACAATACTTGATTTGGCTATTCGGGAAAGGGATTTGCTCAGCCAATTGTGATGTCTCACTTTAGTATCAATTATAGGTTCTTTTTTCACAATGACTTAAACCACATTAAAGTACAACAAAATTTTTTTTCGATCACAGTAACCAAATACAACCTAAGTTTACTTGAAAAAAAAACTGTTCAAAATGTTTTTTGAACTAGATATCTAAAACGCCATAAGCGCATGAAACGACAGCTTTTCTCGAAGTTTTTTCTCGACAAAATTGTTATGTAGGAAACTATGTACCAAAGTGAAACAATTATTCATGGTTCCAAACAGGAGCCGTGAAATCTAGGTCAATATGAAGTATGACGGAGGAATTCCCAAAATGAACGGTCCTTAGAAAACCTGTACCAACAAATTATTTTCATCAATCAAATTTTATAGAGCAAAGTAAAGTAGAAAATTGAAAGTTTTAATCTTAAGGGAATTGTATCCTTTCATATTTATGATTCATGTTCGAAAAATTATCGCACTTTTAAATCTTATTTTCACTCTCTATACTGAAATTGGTTGTTTCCCGTAGTATTAAAACAACGGATAAAAATAGAACCTCCTACTTTTTTCATTAAAGTTTGCTGACAAGGTTCTTACATAGAGACGGCGTTTCAAAAAAAGGAAATTCCGACATTGTACTTCTAGTTCGAATGAGAGAATCCAAGGCTATAGGAGCGGTTCGTTTAAAAGACGAATTGTTTGTCTGATCTAAAAGCGATATCGCGACATAGTCATCAAACAAATAGACACCAAGTCTAAACTGATGTCGTTTTCGCTGCCTAAGGTAAACAAACATGGTCATCTGAAATAGTTATCCTCAGATAAGAGTCATTTTAGATGCAATTAAGCCGAAAAATGCAGCAGCTCTATTCACTCTTCAAATGTTTCTAATCTGGACTGTTTTTCTTATGTAAAATGGCGGTTGGGAGAAGTGAAAGAAGAATCGACGCAGGCTGAATGCATTACCAGGAAAGGAGATTGGGGTAAGGTGGAATGGTGTTCTCCCTCGAAAGCGCATGCACACATTCCATTAGTACTAACAAAATGGTGCATTCATTCTTCAATCCAAAATGGAAATTAATTTGCCAAAGTTTCCAGTTCTTGTAGTTATGAATCAAAATTATCTTCCTATCATTGTGTGTATGCTTAGCAAAGGAAAAAGAGTCTAATTGTTTGGGCGTTCCAAAAATGTGCATCTACAAAACCATCTTCCATGATTCTCCGTGTTCAGCTTCCTCCTTCTTCTTCAATTCTTCAGGTGATAACAATGAACCAATGGATTGGAATATGAAGTCGTTACTCAAATAAATGCACTTTAAAATTCATGTGTTACTAAGAATATACTAACTGATCTTAAAAGGAATCCCTTTCCCACCTGACCGAATTAAACCAAAATTAGGACCAAAAATAAGAAATAGCTTCCTCCTCCAAGATACATGAGCATGTTATGGGAAGAATATGGAGTTATAATGAATGCTTTTGCTTCCTATAGCATAAATACAAAGAATGACTAACCTGTCGAATTCGGTCCTCACAAGTAGACGATGCTTTGGATAGTTTTTCAGTTTGTTCTCCCCCTTCATAGTTCAAAGAAAACTCCGAATTCGGTTGTGAGAATGTGTTATTCTGAATGCTATTCATTCGAAGCCAATTACCTCCACCAACTGCATTTCCACCTCCATTGCTAGAAGCTTGGGAAAGTTGAGCTTGCGAGAGAATACGTGGTTTGCGAGTTTGATTATGTTGCCTAAGACCCATAACTGGTTTGCCTTGAGTTCTCGTGTCACCCAGAATGCCAGATGCTGAAGCCGCGGAACTCGTGAATTCAGTATGACGAGCACCGGCTGCAGTATCGGATTGAGCTGAGCAGACTGTATGAACTGAACCACCGATCCAGAGATCTTGGTTGCCTTTTGACCGACCCTAAAAGTGAATTTGCAACTTTATTGGCGCTTATCAGACACACACGTAATTTAAGATATTCTTAGTAAGTTATTGAAGGAGGTGCCTAAGAAAGAAGAGCCAATCCTTTAGCCAAACATCTCATTGGTCAGCGGTGATCCAAGCTCTTACCCTAACAGAATATTCTCCTTACTTATGCTTGCATATTTCCCTCCTCATGAATAACAAATTGGAGTAGAATTTGTTTGCCTGAATAGGGAATTTAACAGCCACCACAACTATGGTCATTCATGCTTGACATGTTGAAAAAACCGATACAAATATCAGCTGTAAAAGCTCAACTTTGCGTCTTATTTCCACAGCCACTTTATGATTAATGAGCAACAAACTACGACCTTAGAACAGTTGTAGAACCGTCACGGGGCCAAATATGCGAGGAAGATGGAAATAGATGAAGGTCCGAAGGCACACACACATACACACATATAGATCATTACTCCGACACTGCTGTTCGTATAGTCTCCAATATTGTGACGACCTCCGTGTAATGAGAGGGGTGCCTCTGAGTCACCACAACAAACGTGGCCACAGTAAGTCATCATCAATTTTTGACAGGAAGGGGCGGCATAATGACAGCCCGAAATGGGGGGGAGAGGGAAAATAAACGGAGTAGAAGAGGCCTGGGCGATTTAGCTCCAGTGTGATGGCAGCGGCGAGTCACTTCAGCATCGGTTGGTGGTTCTGTGTGTGTGCGTCTAAAGTCCTCTTGGGTGCGTTAGTTCCTTAAATTTACTTCTGGGCTTGTGCGTAAATAAAGTGTGTGGATATAATTAGGCCAGATAGTTAGGGACATAATATTTCAATTTCTGAATGGAGTATATTTGAAGTGAGGGGGGTGCGACAGACTTACCTCCACATGGTGCCTCCTGGGCAACGTACACTCATACGGCAAAAGGTCTACTAACCGGCGGTTGACTTCTGGCTTCAAATTACCATCACCCCACTGTATGTCATATTCGAATACTTCCACATTCTCACCTCACCTTTTTTCTTTCCTTGTGTCTGTCTCTTTTACATCATTGAAACACTCTTCTGTTCCCCCCCCCCCATCTCGACCTTTCTAACTTTTATGCTCCTTCCCCTCTGTGAAGCTTGAAGTCAACTAAAGGGCTAATGATAACTATCAAAACGCCTGCCATTTAATATAAATAATATTTGAAGTTATAATCATTTTTTTGAAGAGGCATTTGAAGTAAGTTCGACTGAGCTAAATATTTTTTATTTTATTTTTTTTACATCCTAACCTCAAATTGATGTCAAAAGAAAGGGAAATAGGAAATCCAAAGAAAAACGGTGACCAAGTCAACCAAAAGAGAAATGAGTTCTTTCTTTTCATTTACTACATTCCGGACAAATTTAACAGAAGACACTCTTTATTCAGAAGCAGCTATCAAAATTGTTGCCTTGATTTAAACTTAAACCATTCACTAGAGAACATATATGTTCAATTATTTCAATATCAATATTAGCATTATATATCTCAATACTAAGGCCACCTCAAGTCGTGTGACAAGAGAAAGAATATAAGTGAAAACGGGCAAGCAGTGGACTATTCCCCAAAGTTCTTGTCAGGAGGGTGACTATTTGAGAAAGGCGAGAGAGAGAGAGAGGCTGGGGGTAGATATGAGGGGAGCAGAAAGTTGATGTCGGGACTAAAGGAGAATACGAGTGTGTGTGTGTGTATATGTGTTTTCAAGTGACTCATCATAAGGAGAGAGAGAGAGCAAAAGTCGGAGACACCATAGGAGGATGGATAGAGGGAGAGGAGAGGATTTCATATAAGTGGAATAACAATGACTCCCCCCTCTTTACTCTCTGTCTGGCGGCTAACTGATGTTCAAAACATTCATCCTCTCAAGGTCAAGCGATTGGTAATGGAGGGGTACTATGGATTTCCTTGTACTTCAGAAGAGGCCGGTGGGATCTCTGAATCCTCTATCTTTGGTCCGTTGCGCGGGTACTCATTTAGACGTAACATATCTTTTCAGAGGTAGAGACATGTTCTGACTCATTTCAGCAGACTCGCAACGGATGCTACGCTACTACCTTGTGGATTTTAGGGTTGTCTAATCACCATTAAAAGCATTATGGTCGTATCTACCACTACTACTCTAAATTTGAGCCAAAAATATTGAAAATTGCTTGAAATTCTCATCAAACGCTTTTTTAGTTTGAACCACTGCATATAGCTAGAAGATTTTGACTTTAGAAGTGATCTTCTTTCCTAAAATTCAAAAACTTTTCACTTCCCACTTCACAAAAATTCCGCAACTTATCAACTAGTTAGCCTCAATAATTGCGAGATATTCAAATTTGTGAGCTTTAGTAGTTTGGCAGTTGTCGAGTTTGGAATATGTCTCATTGGGAGAGCCCGAGTTTCCCATGTACAAATAGGAAGAAATTTATCCCTAAATTGGACATTTTCCGAAGTATCTCGGTACTCTACGACATTAATGATAAAATAATAAAACGAACTTTAGAAAATTGTCAACTGAGGGATGGAAACGATTGAATTGTATACTAGAATTAATCAATAACGATTATAGATTTGCTCTCAATGGATTTAATAAATTCAACTGGTGAACAGATTAAGCATGAGATACAAAATTATCAAATTATATGAGGAAATGAAAGTCAACAATTTATTCCAACGAGTTGATGGATAAAACCAGTTTCTGACCACGGATAAAGCTCTTTGAAATGAGGAAAATAGATAGACTTACCATATATATATATATATATATATATATATATAGT